AGCCAGCAATGCTGAGTTTGTATGACATACTCCTTGTATATGAAAGCAGGTTTATGGTTCGTTGTTGCACATAAACTGTCTTGGATGGAGCTATAAAATGTTGAGCCATTTGGAATTACCAGGCATCCAGCAGCTCTGCACATATCTGTTACAGCTTAATGTTGTGAAGAAACACTTCTTTAGCAAGCTAAGGTCAGTGGAAAATGTCCCAGCCCTTCTGGTTTTCATATTGTGCACAGGGAGCTCTGCCCACCCCATGCTCCAACAAGAGAGATGCTTGTTATGTTGACAACATTCTCTTGAATTACTGTAAGGATGTGCAACAGACAGCTCTCAGCAGGAAGAGCAACCCCTGACCTTCTACAAAGAGAATTGGGAAAGCAGTGGAGGATGGGCAAGTACAGCTGGAGGAGAGATGTCTGCAAGCTGAAAGTGGTGACAAATTGACTATGGAATCCCTAGGGGCAATAGGGCTGACAACCCCAAGATACATGCAGAGCTCATCAGAAAAACGCAGCTGAGACTCCATGGGTAATAATATTCTTAAAATCAAACACATTCAGTAGACGCCACCCCACCATTACTGAAAACAAACATGATGCCACTTCCTGCTGTTTATGTCCATCCTTATAACTTCTGACCTAAAGAATAAGGACCTAGGTCTTGACCTCACATTTCTCCATTAGCAACAGTGCTCAGAAGCATGCCAACTCTAATCTTTTTTAAGACTCACTTGGAGTGGAATTTAAATGAAAGCAGGCCAGCAGACCCCAACGCTGGCTTCATTTCTTTTCAAATATGTCCTTTGAGTCCATAAATCTCTGAAGTTAACCAGAAGTGTCATGAGTCAGAAAAATACAGATACATATCAGGATGAGACAGCTGTACAAAGAGGGAGGGATTGAGAGAAAGGGTGAGGCATTTAAATAGTCAGATAAATTTGTACAGGTTAATTTTTTAATATGTGATGGAAATAAGAAATGGCTTCTCTATGAAGCTGGGCAGAGGTACAAAATGTAGTTGGATGTATTTTCCCATTTGTTCCTCATATAATGCTGGAATGTTTAAAAGTATTTAAAAGTATTGCTAAGACAGGGATGGCAAATGGAGCCTAAAATAGATATGAATTTGAGAAGAATAAACATGGAGAGAATTGTCCATTAGAAAATTTGACTCCCTTCTCAAATCAGACTATTAACCCAGGAAAAGCTATTTAATTGATTAGATCCTGAAGAAAACTGTGCTGAGTTTCACCTAGAAACTGTGTGATGGATATATGTTCCTTAGTTACAAGGTTTCTGACTTTTTGCTCAATGATGTTGCAGACATATTGGTGTTTCTAACAAATATACACTATTTAGAAAACTCAGCTGCCAGATCAAACATAGTACAGATATTGTATAGTTTTCAATATGTATTTTCCATAACTAACATTGCAGTCCTATGCATGTTTAGACAGAAATATGTCATACAAGTCCCAGCATGTTGGTTGGGACATGCCAATAAGTTATAGGACTTTTTCTCTCTAAATATGCAAAGAATTGTGCCTAATGCTTATAAATTACCATAAATGAGGAAAACATGAAATTAATATGGCAGCAAATGAGATTGTAGTTTGATCCATTTAAAGAGGTTGGTGCCACTGCACCATATTAAAAACCTTACTAATGACCTATTATTGTTTTGACCCAGAAAGAATGTAAAATTCAGCAGACAGCGATATTTATCCTCCTTTGTACAACATTATTTTCTACTATTTTGCAATATTTTACATTAATCCTACAACTGCTGCCAAATCATAGCATATGGCATTGTGTTAAAAAATATCCCATATCAGAAGTTATTCTGCCCTTCCAAAACACTCGTGTTGCCCCAGTTGTCTTAACATTTTCCCACAGGATATATGAATAATCTTTTTTCATTTGCCTGAAATATAAAAACAACATTGACATGACTCAACACTCCACGTGGATTAAGATTCATTCCCCACATGCATGCTGCATCCACAAACCACATTGTCTCATTTTGACTCGTACTGCAATTAAACTTACACTGAATCACTTCTGGGAAAGACTCCAGACAGCCAAGTCATTGCATTATAAAACATGCTTTCACCTTCTTCCTCTAAAGTGAAAATAATCATATATGAATCTTGTAAATTTACAACCAAAATATTGCCCATCATACCAAGAACCCCTCTCACAGCTACAATTATATGTTCAGCGAATTTTTGCAGAACTTTGCCAAGAAACTTCCCTACCAATGTTTGTACCTAAGTTTTAAACTGTCAGTTATAGCCTTTGCAAAATCTCCCGATCCTCCTCAGGCTGTTAGTGCTTTTCCAGATTTAAATACCACACAGTTCAATTTGGTGCCTATGAGACTAGCAGTGAAAATAGTTTCGCAACTCATAACCAATAAAAGGAATGGCACTGGAAGAGCACGCAGACCCAAAAAGGCACGTAAATCTAAGTCAGATGCAGGCAACTGTTTGGGGACTATGGGTGCCTTTGGAAACTTTAGAAATGGTCCTGGGTGGGCACAGCAAGGCACAAAGAACAATTAATCTGCCCAGAGGCATTCATGGAAAATTAAGATGCAGCACTTGGAGACTCCCACTTTGGACCAATCCTGGCTGCCAGTAAGAAAAAAAATAGTAACAATTGGGAATAGGGTGTCTCCGTGGGCACCAAGTTGTCCAAGGACACGCTAGTACACACAGGCAGCATGTTGCCTACCCTTCCCCTAAGTAACACACTGACAAAACAGTATGCAAAGCTCAGTGGCAGTCATTGAGTCTCTCCTTTCTCTCTGTGAGAATTCTCATCAAGAATTCAAGGTGTCCCATGCTTTCCAAAGTGACTAATAAAGACAGTCTCTTGCTCTTGGTAACATCATGGCCATTAAACCTCACCTTCTTGACAGGACCTTCTGTGTTCCTAATTTTAAGAGAATAGGCATAGGTGGAAGAGACTGACACAGAGCACAGTTCTGTCTTTGATGGATTCCACAGATGTCCATCAAACCAAAGCCCAGATATCTTCTGCAACACTTTCCACTTTGGGCTGCCACAGAAAGGCCAAGATTAAGGAGGTGTGGTGTAAATTGATATTTTGGTTTTTATTGCACATGTTTTGCTTTTGCAGTTACTACTTGTCCTGAGACTTCATGCTTCTTCTAAAGTTCTTCCAAAGGCTACAATAGAAATAATTACTGAAAAGCAATCTCAGAAGCAGTAGTTCTATACACTTCATTTTAAAATTCACCTGTTGCAGAGTGTCTAAGGAAATGTATTGAGCTATGCAAAGGCCAAGTAACATCCTTCTAGAAGACACTTCAAACACCCCTCTTTATTCATCCTCCTTCCTTCCTCAGTTTTCTTGAAAACTGCTTTCCAGTACTCAAGATCCTGACAACAAAATTTAAATTCCACAAGAAAATGGCAGTAATTTTAAAAAAAACATTAATTCATAAATCTTGAACCCAAGATGTTGAAATAACTTATCAAACTGAATGCTGTATTTTAGACCTGAAATTTGTGCTGCCAAGTTGCAGAATAGTGTTTCTTTTGCCATTCTCACACATGCTAGACAGACTGAACTTAAGATCACTAGTTCTGTTTCTGTTTGAGAAGTTCCAAAACAAGAAAGAGAGGCATGCATAAATGTACATATTATAAGTGCACACACATTTATATATGCACAGTTACATAAGTATGCATTCACCCAAACACAGTGAAGAAGTCAACAGGTCAAAGATGTTATTAGAGAAACTATGACAGAAATTTGTTAAGCAATATTTGCTCAGTCTGTCTCCCTTTGATATAATTAATCCCTTAATTAAGCCAGTATTCCCTTGGAGAATGGGTGACATTTATTGGCTAAGGAAGTCTGCACTTCAAATCTTATCTCAGCTCTCTCAGGCTAGGCCCCCTTCATCAGTGATCCTTCAACAACAGAAAATGACGATGACCTCTTATAAGAATAAGGAGATAATTAGAGGGTTTGGATGATGTATCATACCTGTTATTTTACCCATTATGATAGCACAAGCCCATGAGCACCTATTTGCAAACTCAATTCCTACTTGGAGGTTGTCAGGTCACATGCACCCCGAGAATACAAGTTATTCATGGGTTAAACAAACCTTACACAACTCTGAAACAGACCATGGGTTCTGCAAGGTAGCGCAGAGGAAGGAGACTATGCTCCACCAGTGCTTTCTGTTCCACTGACCAGCACTGCATTTAATTCATCATCGTTGAGGACCAGAATTAGTAGACTGTATTTCATACCCACCCCCAGGGAGGTTCACCTGGTGCCATCGCTCTATTCTTTTCGGCATCAGGCAAAGACCTTTTTATTTTCCAGTATTTTAACAATTAATTGGTTTTATCCTTGCTTTTATCATTATTAGATGCATGTGTGTTGTATGTTGTTGTTATGGTTTCTCTGCTCCTTGATTTTTTGTTCCTTATAAGCCGTCCAGATTTTTTAGTAATGGGATGGCATATAAAAACTTTAAATAAATAATTAAATAAATTCTCCCCCCTCAAGCATGCATCCCTACTCAATAAAGATAAAGTCCGAGGGCCCAAGCTACCTGCTGTTGCCAATGTATATGCTGAGTAAAACACAGCGTCTCCATTCCTCCTCTAACTCACCCAAATAATGGCTTAGGCCCACCAAGATCATACAATGGATCCATAGAATTCTTCAGACCTTCCCCCTCTGACTTCAGTGCTCAGAATCAGGGAGGGGAAAAAGGGGTGTGCTGGGGGCTGGAGGGGGAGAATTAATTATCTTATTAATTGCTTTGGCGATGTCAGACCACAATTTGCATAACTGCTATGAAGTCTGATTTCAGGTATTTAAGGCATCTAGGAAGGTGACCAGAATGTGAATATGCCATTATGTGGTTCATATGTTTGAATGTGCTGCCACCTGGAAACAGTGCAGGCCTCAGCACATCAGTTACTGGAATTCCAGCCTCACACTTACCTGAGCAGAGAACACCCTTGTATCTCGGGCAGGAGAAGTCATCACACTCACAGAAAATCCCATAGATCTTCCCAAATTCACTCTCATAGCAGACACAGCGATTACAGGAGCACTCCCCTCGGCCACTGCAGACACGCTTCCCTTCAGCTTCACGGCACATATTCTGGTACATGTTCCCACTGTCCCCCTCCTCACATTCACACTTGGCTCCCACGTGGCCTGGATCACAGTCACATAATCCACATACGTGTGTGCCATTTCCACTACACTTGCTGCTGCTGTGCTCTGTTTGCTTGGTACATCCACATGTGCAGTTGTAGGTGACAGTCACTTCTAGAGTGTCCCGAAACCAGTCTGGCTTGATAGTGAATGTATGTGATGTGTTCTCAGCAGGGCAAGTCCGAGCTTCTACTGATATCTCAAAGGAAACCTACACAGCAAGAGTGACAGGTAGAAATCAGAGGCTATCAGAAACCTGGAAACTTAACATGATGGAAGAGAGAATCAAATCCATTCTCTGCATCACTGGGAGCCACTGGGAGCCGGGTGAACAGAGCTGGGACAGTGGGGCAGAGGAGGTGGGTCCTGTAGTGTGATGGTGCAGTCTTCTTGACCTTCCAGAGAAGGCTGAGCAGAAAACGGTAGAAAAGCACTGCAGAGCATTTTGGCAGAGGAAGCTTGAGCCAGCCAGCTCTGCAAGACTGACAGCAGTGCCAACAGCACGCCACAGCTGACAAAATCTACTCCTGAGTCCAGGTGAGGACTGTCAGCAATTCCTGTTCCCTGCTTCCCTTGGTGCTCTCACTGTCCCCATGGGACACCTGCAGGAATACTAAGGAGGAAGAGGGGGAAGCATGTGCGATCATTTGTCAGGCACATTGGGAGGCCCAAGCTATTTAGTCTGATGTAAACCCCCTAATACGTTGGGCAATATTTTATTCCTTTCTGTTGATTGATAGGGCCATATAAAATATGTGCTGCAACGCATGTCCTTTTAATCACTGTTAAGTGGATGGATGCAGCAATCATGCCAACAGAGCCCAGAATACAATATTTTTTCCCTTGAGAAATGAAGCCAATGGCTCAGACTACAAGGAAATGCTGTCTCATAAAATAGAATGATGGAACGAATCTGAGAACCTGAAGGAAAGTACTTACATAATACCTTGTTCTAACCCTGCTCCAGGTTCACCCATAAGCTTTGCACAGCCCTAATTTCTCATGCACTTTGAAACATGCTTGGCTTGAAATACACATGGCACCGAGGTGACTGGTATTGCAGGGGTGAGTGAGTCTCTTTGCTCTTTTGGAATGTCACTGAATTCAGCAGTGCCACCCCAATTCAGAAAAAGGGCAGGGAAGCCAGATTTATGAGACTTGCAAGAGCTGAGCAATGGAGAAACCTTCCTACATTAAAGAGAAAAACAGCCTGGGGAGGCAGAGCTCAAAGGATTTGTTTAGAGAAGCCCCAGCATTACAAGGATTGTCAACAGCTTGCCCAAGAACTGAATTGCAGCAGATTAGAATTACAATACCCAGCTTTATCTTCTTTAAGAAAACTAACAATGTCTTGAAAGCATACAATGCTACTCCCTATTTAGGCTTTAACCTGTACATTTCTATCTGATACAAATGGCACATGCTGGAAATGTCTAGGTAAGTACACCCTGTTCATACCACTCTCTCACCTTTTGAGGCCTGTGGGATGTACATTTCAAGGCCAGTTCACACAGGTAGCAGTGCATGTGCCCACTCAAGATTCTATTATACCATTTTGTTTTATTTCTTACAAATCTAAGAATGGGTCTCCTACTACTATTTGCACTGAAAAAATACAGATGCAAATTATTTTTTCAAGTTATGACAGTTACTATCCTGCTTATAGAAAACACTGTCCACCCTACTCACAGATGCTTAGACCGTGAAGAAATTGCAGTAGCAGGCAAGATTTCCAGAAACAGTAGAAATTACTAGTAAGTCATCTGAGTGGAAGACTTGGCCAAGTTGACTCAAATTATATTGTTTTTATATTGTGATTATTTATTTATTGTGAGCCGCCCCAAGGCTTCGGCGAATGGGGCGGCATAGAAGCTTACTAAATAAATACATACATACATAAGAAGGTGCCCATTTAAACTAATAAAAGAAGCAATGTATGAACAGCAACATTAATGAATTACTGCTACCTAAGATTCAACACAGGACTGAAGGAATGGTGTAGTTTTAGGACGTACTAGTAAAATGCATAGTATCTTTAACAGATATTGGTATCATCTGAAAGATTTGCATGCATGTCAGGGTAACCTTTGCTTACCTATAAAAGCCACACACAAAGCCCACACACAAAGCTTCCATGATCATGGCCCACCACTCCCTATTTCACCCAACAGATACACATCAAACTTACTGTGTCTCCTATCTGAAGTTCCTCACACTTCCTGACTCCAGGATATGAGGAACCATCTTGACACGTGGCTGTGAAAGCCAGATTGACATCCTCAGGATTATCCCAGACTGTTAACTCTACTTTAGACCGAATACTCTAGGAAAGAAAGGGGAAAAAGTTCCCATTAATTCATTGTAAGAAAGCACATCTATCATTTCATCTCCATAAGACATTTGAGGAAACACAATATACACAAGCAGGGAAGTAAAATTATATGAAAGTACACTGCTAAGGAACTGTTTTCTATTTCTCAGTATAGGATTGTGTCTTGGAGAAAGTGGAGAGTATTGCTGAGTGACCAGGGCATATACAAAAGCAGCCTTTCCCAACCTAGTATCTTCCAGGTATTTTGTATTTCAATTCCCACAGAGCTGCAGCCAGCATGGCTAATGGTCATGCATGTCAGGAGATGCAGTCCAAAACATCTGGAGGATTTTAGGTGGGAAAGGCTACCTGCCAGTCCATCAATCCTCTAAAATGCAGGTGGGGAATAATCCACTTGGGACATAAATTTAGTAGTAGCATGACTATCAATTGAAAAGCAAGCAGTAAAGTGCTGTAACCTGTGGGTAGAAATGTGTGTGAAGTCTTGTCCCATGTGGTTTCATGCAATTAGCAAGTCCTGGGAGTTGCTAGAAAGAGGGAAAAGGAAGGAAGCAGATAGAAATGGAAGCACAAATGACTCAAGCAGAGGGAGCAAAACTGGGTTTGGGGATTAATCAATGTTCTAAGAAAGCCCCATAAATGGTGTGTGTTGGGGGGGTGGATAATCAAAATGTAAGAGCTGCAGTGAGTTTAAATTGAGAAAAACTTCTGCATACCCTTTTCAAACAAGAGGAATATCAGCTTCTTAATTGCTATGCCTTCCCTTTCTCTGATGCTTCAGTCACATCCCACTGCATAACAGCCACGCAGCAGTGTTGGCAAAAGAGTGTTGGTTAGCTTTCAAGCAAAGGAGGGGATGAGTTTGGTACACATGTCTGTAACAGTGATCAATTCTTTCTCCTTCCTTCATTATGATAGTAAACAACAGTACTATAAAAATATGCTTGCATCTTCTGCCTCCCCACCCCCCGCTCCCCTCCCCCCTGTATCCCTGTTTACATATAGGTAAATACATACGAAGATTGTCATCTTCTGGAGTTCTGAGTCAAAATGAGCAAATTTGCTGGAGTGGAAGACCTATACAAATAGTCTTGAGATAGGATAGGACTATAGGGCAGTGATGGCAAACCTTTTAGATACCAAGCGCCCAAACTGCAACCCAAAACTCACTTATTTATCGTAAAGTGCCAAAACTGCAATAAAACCTGAATACTGAGGTACGTTAACATATTTTGTCTTAAAAGAAAAGCACAATAACAGAGCTTTCAATGATGCAAACATATATCTATTCTTGGCAGCACACTGACTGGCCATGCGAAAGCTCAGACAAGTCACGGGTAATGAGTCGCGGCTCGTGACGTCATCACCTGGCGCCACTACTCCTTTCCGAGCATGTGCATGGCCCCTATGTGCGCTGTTACCCGACGCTTGGCTGCTCAGAGCTGGGGCGACTTGGCTTGCTTGCCGACAGAGAGAACTCTGCATGCCCACTGCGGCAGGTGTGCCATAGGTTCGCCACCACTGCGCTAGGGCATTTTTCAGATGTGAGAACTTGCAAAACCCTGTTTGATTGGTGGCAAAGGAGGTAACCCTGGGAAGCAACTGCACAGAACCCAGGCACCTTGAGTGTCACAGGAACGCAAGGCAATTAAGTGCATGAGAAGATGGCTAGCCACTACAATAACGGCAAAGATTGCTCTAGTCGAGTCTAGCCACAAGCTGCAGCCTGTTTGGCGTGGTGAGGGTAGTGAAGAGGCTATTATCTGCATCACTACATCTACACAGGGTGATCCAGAGGAGTTGTTTCCAGTAGTAAAAAGGTTATTATCACAGAAGTGAGGGGAAGCCCTTGACAGCCTGTTGCGACAACTCAGCAAAACACTTGGCTGATAAAATCATTCACATCTGCTCCATCATGAACTCTGCACTGAAAGCAGCTTCTAGAATGGTGACTTAAACAGCTTGTCCAGTTTTGATGACTGCATTTCTTTCCATTTAGCCCAGGATGTGGTGGACAAGCTGCTTGCTGAGGTTAAGACAACCATTTGTTGCATCCTTCTGCATTGTGATTAGCCAAAGCTTTGAGAGGGGGACTGGCCAGTTGGGTGGTAGATTGTAAATGCATCTTAATGGAAGAATAGTGCATATATTCCTTGAGAAAGAAGCTGTGATGAGACCACATGAAGAAATGGCATTGGATGCCACCTCCCTGGACAATTTTCAGACAATTTCCAAGATTCCTTTTCTGAGTGGGGCTCGCAGAATATGTATGGTGGCAACTCAACTCTATGCTTCTTGAATGAAGCTAAATATTTGGCTCCTTTCCAGCCTGGGCTTACTCATAGATTATTCGTAACAGGAAACTGCTTTGGACACCTTTTTGGATGACCTATAATGGGAACTAGACTGAGTGTGCATGTTTCTACTGATTTCACAAGACCTCTCAGCAGTGTTTGATATCAACACTAGTATGGAACTTGAGGTCACAGAATCTCCCTAGAGTTGGAAGGGGCCATGAAGGCCACTGAGTCCAACCTCCTGCTGTTGCAGGACACCACGTTACACCATCCCACTCAGATGTCTGACCAAGTTCTTTTCGAATGTCTCCAGTGTGGGAGAGCCCACCACCTCTCTAGGCAGCTGGTTCCACTGTTGTATTGCTCTGACTGTGAGGAAGCTTTTCCTGATGTCCAGCATGAATATGGGTTGTCGCAACTTGAATTGATTATTCCGTGACCTACATTCTAGCATCAGCAAGAAGAGATCTTGACCTTTCTCTTTGTGACAGCCTTTGAGGTATGTATAGACAGATACCATGTCCCCCCTCAGTCTTCTCTTCTCAAGGCTGAACATGCCCAGTTCCCTCAGTCTCTCCTCATAGGGCAGTGTATCCAAACCCTGGATTTTTGTCACCGTCCGCTGGACTCTTTCTAATTTACCTGCATCTTTCTTAAATCTTGGTGCCCAGAACTGGACACAGTATTCCAGGTGAAGTCTGACTAGTGAGGAGTACAGAGGAACTACTACTTCTTGTGATTTGAAAGTAATACTTCTCTTAATGCATCCCAAAATAGCATTTGCCCTTTTGGCAGCTGCATTGCATTGTTGCCTCATGTTTAGTCTGTGGTCCACAATTACTCCACAATCTTTTTCTTGTTCAATTCTGTTAAGGCATGTATTCCCCATCTTGTATTGATGCCTTTGGTTTCTTTTTCCTAAGTGGAGGACTTGGCACTTGTCCTTACCGAATTTCATTCTGTTGGTTTCAGTCCAGTGTTCAAGTTTATCAAGATCGCCCTGGATCTTCATTCTGTCTTCTAGGGTGTTTGCTATTACACCCAGTGTTGTATCATCTGCAAATCTGATTATCTTTCCTTGTACTGCCTCATCTAAATCATTAATAAAGATGTTGAAGAGCACTGGGCCCAGGACTGAACCCTGTGGCACCCCACTAGTTACCTCCATCCAATTTTAGAAGGTACCATTGATGAGCACTCTTTGTGACTGATTTAGCAGCCAATTTTGGATCCACCTAATAGTTTTTCCATCTAGTTTTTTGCTAATTTGCTTATCAGAATGTCATGTGGCACTATGTCGAAAGCTTTGCTAAAGTCTAGGTAGATTATGTCCACAGTATTCCCTTTGTCCATCTGGGAGGTTACCCACACAAAAAGTGAGATTAAATTAGTCTTTATTTTAGGGTTAGGGTTTATTTTTGGGTTTATTTTTGATAAATCCATGCTGGCTTCTATTAATCACTGCATTTTCTTCAAGATGCTTGCAGATGAATTTTTTAATAATTTGCTCCAGAATTTTTCCAGGGATTGATGTCAGACTAACTGGTCTATAGTTCCCAGGTTCATCTTTTTTCCCCTTCTCAAAGATAGGGACTACATTAGCCCTTCTCCAGTCATCTGGCACCTCTCCTGTTTTCCAAGATTTATCAAAGATAATAGCCAGTGGTTCTGAGAGTTCCTCCGCTAGCTCTTTTATGACTCTGGGATGAATTTCATCGGGCCCTGGAGATCTGAAAGTATTTTTTCTACCTAGGTATTCCTTGACCATTTGTCTGTCAGTCTTGGGCTGCCCTCTCTCACTTCCTGCTTGAACTTCCTGTTGATTGCAGATTTCCTTGTGCGAGAAGACTGAAGCAAAGTAGGAATTGAGCACCTCTTGCCTTTTCTTTGTCATCTGTTATCACTCTGCCATCCACTTTAAGTAGCTGGACACTCTTCTCTTTCTTGTGTCTTTTGTTCTGGAGGTATCTGAAGAAGGCTTTCTTGTTCTCAGCATCCCTTGCTATTCTTAGTTGATTTTCTGCTTTAACCTTTCTGATGCAATTCCTGCAATCCCTTGCTATTTGTTTATATTCTTCTTTCATGACCTGGCCCAGTTTCCACTTCCTGTAGAACTTCCTTCCACTTCTTTTTTCTTTCAGGCTGTCACTTAACCCTTAGTGGAGCCATGTGGGCTTCCTCTGCTGTCGTCTACACTTTTTTCTTGATGGAAATGTTCGTAGTTGTGCTTCAAGAATCTTCTTTTTCAAGATTTCCGATCCCTCTTGGACACCTTTCTCCTCAAGGGTGTGTTGCCATGGCACTTCACTTATCGTTTTTCATTAAAGTTGGCTTTCTCGAAGTCCAGGATGCTTGTTTGGTTCCGGTTACCCTTTGGCTCCTTCATAATTGAGTATTCAAGTATCACATGGTCACTTTCCCCCAGAGTTCCCATGGTTGTTATTTTGTCCACCAGGCCATCCCTGTTAGTTAGTATTAAATCAACGATAGCTGATCCTCTCGTACCTTTCTCTACTTTCTGCTGGAGAAAGTTGCCAGCAGCACATGTCAGGAATCTCTTGAAGGGGCCATGCTTGGCAGAATTTGTCTCCCAGCATATATCAGGGAAATCGAAGTGCCCCATAATGACTACATCATTCTTCCTTGTTGAAAACTCAGAAAACTACTGCTCATCCCCTTGGATCTGGCCTGTGAGATTCCTCAAATTTATTTTAGCCTCTTTGCCTTTTAATCTGGCCAGGGCGACTTCTTTTATATTGTTATTTATTTTATATTGTTAATTTTATATTGTAATTTTTTGTATTTTATTGTATTTTATTTCATGCTGTGAGCCGCCCCGAGGCTTCGGCAATGGGCGGCATAGAAATGTTTTAATAAATAAATAAATGAATAAATAAATAATGTTAACATGAAACTGCTGGGGGAAGTCATCTGGTGCTTTCAGGTCAGATCTCATCATGGATATGTTTTCTCTCTCTTTTTTTCAATCAATAATATGGAAGTTATTGAAATCCTGAACCACTGACCGGACACAGTGATGGACTAGATGTGAGCTTCACCTGGATGAGATGGAGGTACTGCTGGTCAATAGCTGGCCTAATCAGGTACCATCCATTCTTTATGGAGTGAACATTCTATGAAGAATCAGATTCAAAACTTGGGGTACTTCTCAGCCCAGCCGTGCTCCTGGAGAGCTTAGAGCTTGCCATGGCCAGGAATGCATTTGCCCAGCTTCAGCTAGTCAGACGGTTGCGACTCTTCCTGGAAACCTCCCAAAAACTTCTCTATGGAGACCTATTGCACACTGTGCCCTGTATTCTTACAGGACTGCAGTGGGAGAGGAGAAATGCCCCAAATCAAGTAGAGGAATCTTGCACTGCTTGTGCCAGATTCCCAGTAGTGGACGGGTGTTTCAGGTCTACAGGAGCCTATGGGAGAAAGGTAAAGCTCTACTATGTAAACTTGCCTTCTGCTTATGCAACACTGAATATAACCCACAGATCTTTCTTATTAAGGCAAGGCAATGTCTACAATAAAAATCAGGGAAAGATGACCACTGTATTTTAAGGAATAGATGAATTTCTGTGCAATGAACAGCACATTTCTTTTAGCCCATCAGCTTCCTCTATATCCCCAAGCAGACAATTAAACAATAACATGGGCCACCCATTTCTAATGAACATGGGGCTGGGACTCAGGAGACTTGGGTTCTAGTCCCCAGCCATGGAGCTGACTGGGTGACTTTGGGCCAGTCACAGACTATGTCAAACTTATCTCTTAGGCTTGTTGTTGTGAGGAGAAAATTAAGAGCAGAAGGAAGAGAATTATGTAATCCACCTTAAGTTCTTTAAAAGATAAAAGGTGGGATATAAATCTAATAAATAAATAAAGTGGCTGTGACTGCTAAGAGCTACAAGTGCAGCAAATCTTAAGCTATTAACCACAATCTAGACTCTAAACTATTAACTATGTTTCCTTAATCTGGTGTATGACAATGTTCTGGGCTACAACATACATTAGTCCAATAGTCAGGGTTGGAGGAATTTTTAGTTTAAAACATCTGTAGGGCACCAGGTTGAGGGTGGTTGGTGTAGAGGAAAAGGCACAAAGTATTGTTCTGGCATTCATGTAGTAAAAGAAAGTAATCAAAGTAATAAAAAGGAAGTAATAGAGGTTCTGGCATAGTACTTATGTCTTTTAAAATATAGAGAAAACCTTCAAGAAAGAGGATAAATAATGAGGACTCTATTAATAAGGATCCAAACCAAAATATAACATTGTAAGAGTGGCTAATAATAGGCTATTTTGATAAATACTCAAAATCATATAACATGACCAAATGCTACACACAGGAGTATAATCAGTGGTCTCCTTTTTAAAGAAAAAGTAATGTTCAAATTGCAGTCTGCACCAGTGGAAAAATAGTAGACTGTGCACAAGTTAGAGCCACTACATTTAAACAACACAAAAAGAATACAGTGGCTTGTGCAGCACTGTTATCCTAACTTCAGTATTCCAAAGAAAAAGAATTCATTTTATTTTTATTTTATATTTATATCTTGCCTTTTTTCGTTTCAAGGAATTCAAGGCAGCTTACATAATTTTCTTCCTCTCCCATTCTTATCCTCACAACAGCCCCATTAAATAGGCTGAGCTGAGAGTTTGTGACTGGCCCAAAGTCATCGAGCGAGGTCTATGGCTGAGCGGGGACTAGAACCCAGATCGCCTCAGTCCCACACTCTTAACTACCATACCACACTGGCTCTCTAAGGTATAATCCTGTGCATATTTAAACAAGACCTACAATTACCAGTATTCCCCAGTCAGCATGACTCGCTTGGGAATACTGGAGGTTGTGGGACTTTTCCTGTCTAAATATGGACAGGATTAGGTAATGCCCTAATTCAGGGCAACATCACCAACACACAGGATCAGCAACAAACAGAAACAAAAAGTTCCAACTCTAGAATCTCTACAAAAAGCAGTAAAACAACTGAAGGTGGCTATTTGTATGAGTCCACAATGCTTATGGTTAGAAACTTAACTGACAAACTTCCTTTGAAACTCAGTGTGTGGGGGCGGGGGGGAGGTCAACTGTAAGTGAGCACAAATTAATGGGGAATGTGTGAAGCATGGAAAAGCAACGAACTGAGCCAGGGGGGCAAAGAGAAAAAGCTGCAGTGATAAATATAAGGAGGTGTGTCATGTAGAAGAGCCTGCAGTTTTCTCACATCTTGGGTGGCATTCCCTTGGTACATGTGCTCTAAGCTTTTTCATTATATGCTTGTGAGCGCTGTAGATGCTAAATTCACAGTTCTTGTTGCTGTAACAAACACTTGTTGATTCCTACCCATTTTGAAATTTGTAGTTTGGATTCACAGGTTTTCTGAGCTACAGGCTCTGAAAGCACCACACAGAATGGAAGGGGAGGAAGTGAATTACAATTCCATATACAGCATAACAACTGACAAAATACAAATGAAAACTGAGAAACTTACATTGTAGGCCTTGACTATGAGCTGAATAATATTTCTGGAGTCTTGGTATAAAATCTCTACCGTTGTTCCAGGGATAAGGGCTGTGAGGTTCTTTGTAAAAAAAAGGAATGGAGGGAAAACACCAAAAAGAACAAATATATTGAAACATGAACAAAGAAAATCCTATGCACAAAGGTTCAATATGACTATGAAATAAAGAACATAATTGAGCTCTTGGGAAATAAAGCATGGGAAATAATGTTCAAATAATTACAAGGTGCTACAAGCCTTATGAGGCTCTTAAGTAATAAGATTAATTAACAGAAGGTTGGACTGCCTACACGTCTCTTGGCAATGTCCCCCAAATAAGGATTAAATAATAGCTTATTTTGGTGCCCTTATTATCACCAATGTTGATCCATTTACTTTAAGAAGCTTAACTGCTTTCCACTGAAGTTCCATTCTCAAATTAACAGAGGAACGAAGCAGGTAAAGAGGAGCCCTTGCTTTGAAGTCAGATCATGAGCACGTTCTCAAATACTTTCCAGTTCCAAGCTGCTCTTTCTTCTCCCTAAGCACCAGACCTCTCATACTTTTGACTTAAGGGGCAGCAGTGGCGAAAGCTACATTCTCCAGCAGGTGCCAAACAAGGAACAAAACTCTTTCTTTCACTTCTAGCCCTTACCTTGTAAAGAACATAGTGACTTTTTGTCACTGCAAAAATGAGGTGAATATTGTTCTCGGCTAGTTTCTCCCCGAGAAGTGCAAGGGAAGGATAGTCCTATGGAGGGAAAGGAGAATGAACTTAGGAAGAGAAGGTTTAATAACAATTATTTTGCAAGTTTAAGACTGCAATCCTATACCTGTTTATTCCAGAGTATGTTTTGTTACATTTAACAGAACTTACTTCTCAGTATGCAGGCATAAGACTGCAAAAGACAAATGTAGTCAAAGAAAGATACATAAATGAGAGAAATTTCCAGACACAGCCAGCAATTTGAAATTCCCTTTGTTATATTTATGTATCAAGAAACCATGCATAATGGTCCATCTGAACCATAAGTTGCTCATTTTTTGCCATCAGGAAATAAATGAATTTGTGTAATCAGGCCACTTCACAGGTTGTTGTGATCATAGATGAATTACAGAGGATTCTATATGTCAGCCTATGACTTTTTTTTGTTTGTACTCACAATATTATGTTTGCAGAAAGAGATTAAATACATTTTTATTACTCATTTATCCCAGAAACTGTGAGGGTATGGGATTCAAACTAGATTCTAATCCAATCCATTTGCCATGGATAGATTTATTCACTAAGCAGTGATTTTGAAATATGTTAGACTCATTATCTCTTCCCCCAGTTCAAAGTTTTCCTTGTGTGTCTCAAGGCCATTTCAGTAACAGCAAACAATTCCTGGACCTCAAGGACTCCCATTCTTTTTCTGTGACCCATGGCCTCACCAGGGAAGGGAGATGATCTTTCAAATACTCCTGCTATTGTCTGCAAGTAGGGCAGTGTTGGTACAGCCACAGGTTTTTCTCTGAAGTGTCCCTTATGGACAATGGAGCTTTACTTCACAGCAGCCCAAGTCAACAAAATGGCTTGTGCTACCTAACCAATAATCCTAAATGAAAATGCTGCTCCAGAGTAACTGATTAGTCCCACTAAAGTGGCCAATCCCAGGACTGTAGCAAGAGTGTTTCCCCATCAAGTCGAGCTGCACAGTAGCTTGGATATTTTGACACTGGAAGCAGTAAATCACATAAGCACTTCTTCACTCCCCTGGCTGCAGAATGACAATATTAAGTTAAATAAGAGTGTGTTGCCTCATTTTTTCTTTTTTGCCATCATATATGTATTTTTACAGATTAAACCTCAAAAGCCAATGCAATTTCAGAATACATACTAATTTAGTTCTTAATTAAATGTAGTAAATTAATAATTAAGAGCAAAAAAATCTTTAGAATTATTCATTATATTTATATCCCGCCTTTTTCCTTTCAAGTAACTCAAGGCGGCTTACCTATTCTCCTCCTCCTCTGAGTCTTATACAACAGTAATCCTGTGAGGCAGCTTGGGCTGAGAGTCTGTGACTGGCCCAAAGTCACCACTCAAGCTCAGCTGAGTGGGGGACTAGAACCAACATTTGTTTTGTTTTGATTTTTTTACTGTGGGCCTTTACAATCTGGGAGCCTTATCCAGATTGCAAAGGCCCACAACACCTCATGCTAGGCTGCCAGTCTAAGTCAGGCCTCCTACTCAAGAACAAAAATAACAAAGATGTAGCTGCTAGACATTTAAGGAATGTCTTATAAACTTTCAATAGCATGCTTGCAGACTAGCTTTTCATGTAATTTCAAGGTTTGTTTTGCCAGTTACAGGAATGAAGATGTATATCTGTTTTGTTTACTCAGGAAAACAAAGGACAATTCTGTGTGAGGATTCCAGTCCATTGTCCTAGGACAGCCAGCTAGCAAAAACTAGCATGAGAGGAAGAGGAAAAGATTACATGCACATTAAAAGGGGCATGTAACTTGCAATTTGCTCAGCCTGCAGAAACAACACAATATTTATGCAAGCACAAAGCAGTTTTTCATCCAGAAAGCAGACAAACAACCTGCAAACTTCCTTGTTTAGTCAAGGCACAAATCTCATGCTTTATTGTGTTCAGGGATATAAGGAGTGGGGCACTGAGACAACAAGAGGCAAGCTGAGGTAGAAACAGAAGGCTGGTGCTGAGACTGAGATACAGTTGCTATCTGCAACAGCAGTTTTGTGTTTGGGGGTAATATGTTCCACCCTGATATGAAAACATTTTGGCGCGAGAGAAGAAGTGGACCCAGGAAAACAGATGCAGTGCAAACCTGTTTACAACTGCTTCCAGAAAAGGTATGCTCCCATCCATCACAGCATCTATAGGCTAATCGACCAGTGTGATTTTTCCCTCCTTCCCCAATCCCAATTTGATCATTTCTAAGAGGTAAAGACAGGACAGCTGCTGAAGTTAGAATTTCAGGGACCCTTAAGAATGATGCAAGCTGTTTTACTTGTCCATTTTGTTTAAAGAATACTAATGTAACATTGTGGACAATAATTTCTCTAGGGTTTGAATGTTAGACCAATGTATCCAATTTGGCACTTTATCTATGTATGCTGTCATGGGAATTAGAAACAGCTTTTCAAGGAATTTAGATGTACAATGCTTTGTGAAAGCTAGACAAGGATGATTCAACTGGCCAGGAAAGGGGTAAACACCCTGCCATGTATTCTCACCAGCTGACTGGATGCAGTATATTCATTGGCCTCGTTCAGGTGACACTGCCCATCATGTGGCTGCACCAGTCCAACCAGCTTCCCATCCAGTGCAACATGTGGGACATCATCTGTAGTGAAGACCAACAAGTGAGAAGCCTCCTTCCGCCATCCAATCTCCTTCTACACAAAAAATATAAAATAAATTGATCAGTCTGCATGCATGAATTAGCAGTTTTCAAGTTTCAAGTTGGCCTTAGCATAAGTATCTCTCATTACATTACAATGAGAGATACTTATGGCTAAGGTCAACCTGAAAGGGAAAAGAAGCCACAGCACATTCCTTTAAGCTCCTTGTAGAAAACCTGGACTCAAAAGGCTGTCAGTAGACAGCAAACAAGAATGCCACAGAAAGATAAAATTAAGAAATATATACTAAAATCCTCAAATTTTGTCACCAGAAATGTAATGCCTCCACTATAATGAAGGCAACAATCATAGTTACAATATAAAGAAAGAGATGAATGTTCATTTATTGGGGATAACTCTGAATGCTTAATATTGGTTGTGCAGAGACAGAGTAAGTAGCAAGATCACGAAATGCCCACCATACCACTGGTGAAGATGTGGAAACCAAAACCCCAACAATTCTGTTCCACGAAACCAGGTGCTATCTTCCCCTTCTGTCTCTTTCAAAAAATACTTCAGCAGCAACTTACTCCTGCCTCAGATTGGCAAAATGTTACACTACCTTTGCAAGCACAAGAATGTTAACTATCCATGCCCCTGACAGGCAGGTCCAGTTCTGTGTGCCATGGCAGAGTGCCACTGCAGCATGTCCAGCAGAGGCTTCTGCCCGGACACTGCTTTGTGAACAGCCAGGAGCCCCTTCTGTGACACCAGGCCCAAGCAAAATGCCACACTGGTTGTGAGACTGGCACAGAAAGCACAGCACAGAGCCACGGGAGTGATCTATAATCTTGCTTATTTGAAGGCAATACCTGTGAAAGTAAATGCCATGAAGATTAAGCAAAAAGTACAACATGTACACCTTGCATCTGTTCTCTATCAATTAGTCAACATGATTTAAGCCTGATTTGCTTCTTTTGAAATTCATCTAGGATGGTCGCTCAGGAAATGTAGCCCACAAGTTCAAGCCAGAAGAGTTATCCGACTCCCTATTAAAACCACAGTGGAAGTTATACTATTGAAAAGCTCAGCTCTGGAATCCAAGCAGTAGTAAGCATGCTGCATCTGTTCCTGCTACTTCTGAAAGAACATCCATTTCCGGCAGGCAAAGCAAAGGTGTGAAGAGCATTGCTAAAAAGCCACACCAGACTTTATTAGCAGCAGGTGCATCAATCTAGTGCGATCACTGGGTTCCCCTGCTAAAAGTTGGAAAGGACTCCCCCTCTCAGGAAGTGATAAACATATTAGCCTTTGATTGGGTTGACGGAAGTTTGAATCAAAGATGTCATTTTGCCAGTGGTAGAAATTCTGCCAGGGCAGCTGAGGAGGCCAACTGTGCCTGCACATTTAAGTAGCAGGCTGTTTCGGTCAGCGCAGTGACCGCACACACGCAAGTGCACAAGCACGTGTGTATGAATGTAGGCAACAGATTCTGAGCACCGTCCTCTTCAGTAAAATAACATATTATTAAAGTCAGAGCACATCATTGCATATTTCTACCATAATACAGTGGCAAAAAAGAAAGGGGTTTTATCACATGCTATATCAAAGTTCCAATGTAAAGTATGAACATTGTTCAGACAAAAGACAAGTTTAGTGAGTACTGGCAACAGATGCCACTCAAAGAGACCACTGCCAACACGTCTGCCATTTTCCCTCAAATAAAGACGTATGCTAGGAATAGTGTGCACAATACAGGGAAGCATAAAGGCGTCACACTTGCTTATTTTGCATTTCAAAAATGCTTTCCAAATAAACTAACGTACCTACTGGATGAAGTACTGCTCACATACTGTATATCAATGCAGGTTTGATGTGCACTGTAGCCCCTAAGCACATATTGCTCACAACAAGGCCATTCTAATAATTTGTTTGTTGGTCCCTTTAAAAAAAAGAAAGAACTCCTACAGTTCTGCTCAGCTTCCTATCTTCAATATTCCCAGCCTCAACATGTTTCACAGAACTGCAAAGATATCCAGGCTTCCACAACTCACCCCAAATCACTCACCTCACACACAGCTGCCTGCAAAATCGCATCAAAGCCGCCTTCTGGGGCGTCTCTGTTGCGCGAAACCTTCTGTTTCTGAACTTCTTCGTTGAACCTGTCAGCTTGGTCTGTGAGGGACAAAAGATGACGAAATCCAAAAGATGGAGCACAGCTTGGAAATAGTTTGTAACTATGAAGACAAGGAATAAAAAATAGGTATCACTGGCCTGCACATTAAGGTAGGAACTCCAGAGCACTCCTTACTTTTCATATTCATACACCCTGTAATTTAAATCAGTTATATTCTGCTTAATGTATAGCACACTAACTTTTTTGAATTGCTGATCACCTACAGATTTCATTCACAAAACTGTAATTCTCAAAGGTTCTCTCTGTAAGTAACGTGAAGCACCCCACAAATATGCTACACTGTGTATATAACGGATGAGCAGGCTCACCATGTCTTCTTCTCCCCTTCCTTCCACCTTGGTCATCCAGCAGGTGTACCAGTGTCCTTCACAGCAGAAAGTTTCTAGTTTCCGCCTCATTTCTCCTCCCCACTCCAATCACTACCCCATTTTGTCCGATGTCTTTTTTTCCCTCTTCAGAGTCTCAAAAAAGGGCAATTGGTGTCCTATTTTTGAAAATAATTCAACTTAAAATCGCACATTTCTTAACTTGCAGGGGAGGGGGGTTAGGATTTTTTCAATATGGGTAGCTTTCCAGGGTCAATTTTCTTGTCCATTTCAGCCTTCAAAGGAAGCTGCAAAGCGGAATAGGAAACATACATGGAAACTGATATGACAAGACCGAATATGAGCTAAGTCGTGCACAGTTGCCATGGATCAATAGCTGTCAGCTGAGAAACACCAATGAAGGGGGAAAATAGTGAAAGAAGGTGCCCCAAAAGAGGGTCAGTATCTGCCCCGCCAATGGAACATTTTGGCTTTTAAGCAATAACCAAGACTTCTCTGGGCCCTCTACCTTTTCAATATCCCACTGAGTCTCCAGCTAGTTCAGAAAAGTTATTAAATCCCTCCATTTTGTGTACCTTTTGGAGCATTTACTTCTACAGTTACTGCAGTTGTCCCACAGTTCAGAAAAAAACAAAGCAAAACACAGAAATAGTCACAAAATTAATGGCTGGGAAATAAATGGAGAAATTTTTGTACCTGTCAGGGAACTGCAGTAACTGTGGATGGAAGTCTGCTGAAAAGTAGCATGAAAAGCCAGCAGAGTTAGTGTCTCCCCTTTCTGGAGTAGCTGGAGCATAAAGAAGCGTTAAAAAGATAAGATGCCACTAAAAATGTCAGTTCATTACTTAAAATTGAGAAGATTACATTGCTACTGTACCCTACCTTTTGGTATACCTAATTTCACTGCTTTCCCCCCTTTTCTAGGTTGAAAAAAATAACCACTGACGCTCCCCCAAGGTGCCACATGGGTACCAGTGTAGTAACTATCTCTACTGATAGCAAGGTGAAATAGTGACATTAACTCTAACCCAATCCCAACATCTCACAGTGAAAGTGCTTCCTGGGTAGAACAACCCCTAGAACAAGCCATGTATTATAAGGTTGTTTTGCTGCTGAAAAATAAACCACCTTGCAGGAAATGGTCTGAGTTCAGATGATACAACAACCCACCATGGCTAGTTAGTCACAATGGCTTATTGTATCATGTGAACCCAATCAATAATAGTAACTCTTTTTTTAAGGTAAACAACCCAGTGCTAAATAGGTGTACACAGAAATATGCTTCTATGTCATCAATGGAACCAACTATTAAGGTAGCTTATTTAGGATTGGCACTTCGGCCTGATAAATTGGTTGGGGAATGTTCATGCATTATTTCAATGTATGTAATTAAATGAAAAAGCAAAGAATCTGGTCTGTATGGCTCTATTTAATACTACTGAGCTTAACCTGCACAGGCAAGCAAAATACCCACCCAATGAACAGAGTTCTTGTAGCTTGCAATACTTGGTTTTTGGCAGCATCAGATGTTCATAATGTGTTAGCTAAAATGACTTTCCACAAGCTGCTGCCCTCCAGATCTGCCGGGCTTTAGTTCCCAATGTTCTCTGGCAGGTTAATTAAAAGTGGTCTACTACAACAAATATTTTATTCCTGTTCTTGCCAAAGTGTCACAACCCTGGCAGCACTCAGGAACCCATTGGAGAAGAGCTGGCCCACAACAGCTGCCGTTCAGCTTTGGATAAAAGGAATGCAAAGAACTCAGAAACAACCTCTACCTTCAAGCTGTGCTACTCTTCCTTCATATAACTCCTTCACATATTCAAATAGTTGAGTGACAAACTCACTCCTCCATGTAATGCATATACTACTTTGCATTTTAGAACTGGAACAAGTAATGACTGTGCCCCATTTCACTAGCTGTATAGCTTTGTACAAATGATTACACTTAAATCTTACTTTCTCTTCTAAATCTGCACAGGAGTCCCTAGAAGCTTAGCAGCTTCAAGTTCAGTTATCTAATACTCTGCAACATGAAGCTTAGCACACACATCTTATTTCCTCCAATTTTCCTCCAGTTTTCCTCCAGCAGTGGGTTGGAGGAAAATTGGCAATTGTAAGTAATGTAGAACCACAACATTTTTTAAACTCAAAAAGCCTGTTCCCTCTGTATGTGGCCCTAATAGACACAGCCCAGACTACAATAGGGATTAATCATGCCTTAATGTTCAAACATGATGTCAAAACCAGTCTTCCTTCATAAAAGATTTCATAATATAAGCATATTGGATAAAAAGGATCCTTCAAGGCAAAAGGAAAGGCCTTTTAAAAATTGTTGCAGTCTCTATTCCACCCGACTCCTTACAACTAACTATTTGTTCTGTCTTAAATTGTAACATGATTTAGGGGTGCCCTATAAGGTCCTGATCCTTAAAGATCAGCAAGTCCAGACTTATCCCAGCAAACTACCAGCTCCCACAACTATTGGTTTACAGAGAGCACCTAAACTCCCTTCTTCGTATCTTTAGAACATGCTGTGAAATATGCCGATCTTCAAATCTATCTAGACCAGAACACAGCAATTTAAAAGAATAAGCATATATTTATTCAGTAGATCAATATTCCAAACAAATGATAACTGATCAATTCTGACAATTAAAACAATGGCTTTAAAAACTTAATGCCACATGTCTCTGCTTCCATTAACTTCCATTCACAACTTGTCTTTTATTCTACTAACCTAACAACCAATTCTTACCCTAGTTCTTCTCACTATCTCCCCATGCTCATCTAATGCCTTCTCTTTCCCTAACATCTCCTAAGTGTCCCCATTCGCCTTCTAACTGTCTTTCCAACTGCTGCCAATTCCACCCAGCACTCCATCCTAGGCAATCATTCCTCTACTCACTTCTGTGTTGCACTAAATGAAATGTGCCACTTCTGCTTTATACCCCAGGAAATAAAATGGTATCCCAGGCCAAAAATCCCAGCACCAGTTCCGATTCCCTTGAAAACATGGGTTACAAATCACAGGCAGGCCTGAAGACAAGAACACCCTTCTTTCCCTTGCTCAGTGCTCACAGCTATCCAGATGACATGCACATGGAATAAACAAAAATGCTCTCCACATGCAAAGGATGTTGTCCCAGGACACTGGCTTGCTTTATAGATTTTGTCCAGTTTCTACAACGCTATGGTTTTCTTTATCCTCCCCCCACCCCCACCCCTTTTTGGCAATATACTTGCAGACTTGATTCAGATCATCCCGGAGAGCAAGAAGTGAAAACAATGATAGTGTAGATCAGCAGTGGGCACCCCACAGCCTGGTGCCTGTACTCCCACCTCCACCATTCTTGATACGGAAGGCTCTTCCCTCCTTCCTTCTCAGCAGCCATGAGAAAAGAGCCATTTGCATCAGGATCTCTGAGGGAGCAGGTAGCAAAAAGGGACTCCACCCCTTCCCGCAGTGATTCCCATGTAGATCCCTCTTTCCTTCTTGCTGCTCGCAGTGGTCACTAGGATGTCTATGAGACTATGTATATGCATACAGCCCCCAACTCCCAAGCCGGCATCCCACATGTCTCATGGGGTTGAAAGGTTGCCCACCTCTGCAGCAGATGGGGCAAGCGCAAACACCTCAGGAATACTTAGGCCAAGGAACGGTAGCATCCAGTACTGCTGTAATCTCATGGATCAGAGACCAGGGCAGGCTAGCATGTTATTGTACCTAATAGGCTTTGAGTGACTGACACGAGGCACCCTTCAAAGCGAAAAAGCTCATCCCGGCTGCCAATTAATCATTCACTGCCAGTTTAAGCCATCAGCCAGCTTCCCTCACACTCAAGGTTACTTGACCCAGGATACGAGCTTCTTTGTCATAAGATCATGGGAGTCCCAGACAAGGGAGGGCATCCAAAACAGTTACGTGGAACTTGATGAACAGCCTGCTACTAAGGCAGCAATCCCAAAACCACTTGCTAGAGAGTAAGTTCTGTTGAACATGATGGGACTTACTTCAGTGTTACTTGAACCATTTATTTATGTCTTAGCAGACTACAGATTCTGCAGAGCACTATATTTTAAATTAGTCGGCATGTCCGCTTTTGCTGATATAGAGGGACTCCCAAGTAGGCTATATATCGTGACTTTTAAATGAACCTGCAAGCTGTGAATGTTTTTGCAAGCCTAGGGAGCTCAGTGAGAAATACTTTGCAGCATCCAGTGCTAAAAACAATTGCTGGCCTCTTGCTTACCCAGTACAAGGATTGGTCTGATATCTGGGTGCTGTGTAGGAAAAGGGAGAAATGTTCTTGTCCACAAAAGAGCCAAACCCAAGGCGAAAATTACTAGTCAGCTTTCCCATCTCTTCAGCCAGCTTGGTGCCTAGGTTCCGGATGGTGTCCAGATCATCCTTCATGGAAAGGGAAAGATCCATCAAATAATAGAGGTCCACAGGGTAGTCTTCTATCTGTCGAACCTGCACATGGAAAGAAGTTGGGTCACCTGTGGAAGCAGCAAATTGTAACAAGTTAATAATTAAAAGCAAATGCATTCTTTCCCTCTTTTGGTGCTGGATTTATTCAGTCTGTGATAGAAAATCCTTCTCCTGACCAGTAGCAGAAATATCCCCAAATTAATGGCTGAAGTATGAATCCTTCTGCAGAAGGCTTCCTGTTGCAACATGTAATTAATGTAAGATGCTGAAATCCAGACAGCATACTTTTCTTTTGGTATCGTATACAAGTTATTTCCCCAATAAAATTATATTAGCTTCCACTTTGCAGTTGGGAGAAAAGAGAGAGAGATGAAGAGAAGAGGAAATGAAGCAGTTCACACCATGAAGCTCAGCTGGCAATACCCACAGTCCTGCTGTTTTGCACTGATATGGTGGCTGATTTGTAGCGGGTGCCCATATAGGCAGCCAAACCCTGATGAGCCTCAGGAATAATGGTAAGCCAGGATAGTGTGGGCTTCAACAGCCCCTCAACCACTGCCAAAGCTGCTGAGATGGCCTGCATGAATGGACAGAGTGGGCCCCATAGGCTTGCAGTACCCCACTGGGAGCCCTTTTACTCCCGTTCTGCCACTCAAGGCAGTTCACTGAATAGCTTACAGTTAAATAGACACAATAAAAAGGATGGAGGGGGAAGAGGAAAATAAGCAAATTCATGTACCATGGGCAATGCATGAGACAGTTCGAGGGAAGGAGTAATCCAAGTGGAGTAGTTCTTAGCTAGGCCAAAGAGAAGGCTTTGCAGAGTCACCTCTGTAAGAATGGAGAGGAGGAGCCAAAATAGCAGCTGGACCCTGCCAAGCTGAGGGGAAGCCCTTCCTGTCTCACTTCTCCCTCGGTGGCAGTCTGGTGCAATGCCTGTGCACAAAGATGACTCCAGGTGCTGCAGAACTGACAGCAGTTTCCAAGCTGTTCAGCCTCACAGCATCCCAAATAAAAATATGGCTGGATTTTTCCAAGCATTTAGCTGCCTGTGCCATCTGAATTAATTTTGGGAGAAAGGGATATCAGCACAGTTTCTAGGCTGAAGAAGAGTTGATATCTGCTCTGAACCACCATTTTCCATGATTAATTGTTCTAAGAAAGAAAGAGAGAAAAGAGGCACTGGAATGCAGTATATTGGTAGGCTGGAGGGTTAAAATTTATTATAAAACTTCCGAGAATTATTTTTACTTGAAAGGTGGAACAGGCATTTAAAATGAGATGAAAGTGAAATCAAAACTGGGAAGCATTTCCAACTATTGATTTCTATAGCTGTGACTGAGAGCAATATCCTGTTGTACCCCATCCAATCACATTCTGAGCCCAAATTCTCGCCATCCTGAGTGACTTAGAAGCAGCCACCAAGCAAATTTTTCAATCCCTTAACTTTCAGGGCAGTAAGGAAGGGTTCCTGGACAACTCAGCTGAAATCATCTCATAACTAGCAATCCATAGAGCTGATGATTTTTAAAATATTTCCCTGACATTTATTATTAGGAGTTGTTTCCAAAACAGAAGTCTTGCTTATAACCATTAATTATATCCTGGCATAGCTTGTATAATAAAAGTCATTGGAAAGGATACAACAATAAAAATTATTTCTTCTGGTAACCAGGTGTGCAGATGGGAGATTATGGTTTCAGGGATGTACAACCATACTCCTCCCCCGTCTACATTCTAGAACAGTTAGCAAGATCAATGTACTTCAGTACCCAGATACAACACACTTGTCTAGATTTCCTCTCAGTAGATGGTCATCCGTGGTTGGACCTCATGGCCTTCTCAGCCCTATCCAACTCTACTATTTTCTGATTCTATGATCAAGAAAAAGTGATCCCAGAACTCTGGCCTTTCCTAATGGAGCCAGCATAAAATACTAGAGTTTCTTGCCCTGTTTCTGTATTGCAAACCTTTAAAGGTTAAGGTTTCCCCTTGACATTGTGTCCAGTCATGCCTGACTCTAGGGGGTGGTGCTCATCTCCGTTTCCTAGCTGAGGGACCCAGCGTTTGTCTGCAGACAGCCTCTGTGGTCATGTGGCCAGCATGACTAAACACCGAAGTGCACGGAACGCTGTTACCTGCCCACCCAAGTGGTACCTTTTCATCTACTTGCATTTGCATGCTTTCAAACTGCAAGGTTGGCAGGAGCTGGGACGGAGGAACAGGAACTCACCCCGTTGTGCAGATTCGAACCAGCAACCTTTCAATCAACCAGCCCAGCAGCACAGCGGTTTAAACCACTGTGCCACCTGCAGTGCCTGCAAACCTTTAGACAGCCTTTTAAAAAATATCCAAAACATATGCATTTTGTTTTAGACCCTACACTCTTGAAGTGAAACACCAAGGTGCAGAATGGTCTTCCCCAATTTGATGCCCTCAAGATGTTTTGGACAGCAGCTTCTATTGACCCCCTGCAATAGTCAGGAATGTTGGGTGTTGCAATTCAATTCTGAAGGCACCAGGTGGGGGACAGCTGAAGTTTCTTCAGATTATTTATTACACTTCTATACCACACAATAGCTGAAGTTCTAGCTATTGGACTAGAAAGAGAAACCTAACAGCAGTACAAAGAGTAAAAAAGTGTAACAGAGGCTTTACCTGTCAATGAGAGGAGCACAGGGTAGGCAGCAAGGTAAGCCTCTCTGTAAAGCTAATTCCACAAATGGAATAGGGTCATGCAGGGAAATATTCCCTCAGATAAGCTGGCCCAGAGCCATTTAGTACACGGAATGTAACAACACTTTGAATCAGGCAAAGATACAGATGGCCACCAGTTCAGATTGTTAAGTCCTAGGCTAATATGATCACATCGGTCAATCCTCATAAACAAACTTGCTGCTCTATTTTGGACTGTTCTAAAAGGCAGCACCATGTATAATGCATTGCAGTAATCCAGATGAGAGGATGCCAGAGCATGGATAAGTGTAGCTAGGCTATCTCTCCCCCAAAAAGGATGTACTTGGTATATTCTATGCACAGATATCCCCTAGGATTGATGCTAGATGGAAGCAGGGTGGTGGTTGGCAGTAGTAGAAGAGGGACGAATATATGTACACTGGCAAGAATGGCTAAAGAAAGGAACAGCAGATAAGCAAAGAGAAAAGACAGAGGGAAAGGGGATATTTTAGCTTCCATAAGCATGCCCTTGGTCTCCTCTCTTTCCCATAAAAGCCAGTTATAAGCCAGCCAACTTCAATTATGTGTACAGTTTATAAAGAGAGGGGCTAAAAAGGGCCTGTATATCATTTTCACGTTTTGTTATCATCGCTTTTAAAGCACTGCAGTTTTATTATGTTGCACACTGAATAAAATTTCCTTTTTCCCCAAGTAAGAATTTCACCTGCAGCCTAAAGATTCGCTGTGTAGAAGTGATTGATGTGACAGATGGGTCTGCTGAAGAAAAGCTTTTTTTCCACTCTGCCACTGCTAGCACACAAGAGTGGTTTGTTCTCATTCAGCAATTATTTTCTCTTTACAAATGCATTCTCCAGGACAATCCGGATGCATCATGTGGCAAATGATTCTGACTGTGTGAACTTGCCTTGAATCAAATGTGAACCTTTATCAACAGCAGGCAATACAATAAAATGTATTGTCATTTTATAGCATTAACTATAATATAGCATAATAGATTACAGACTCCAAAATTGCATCTCCTTTTTGTGTTTTGTTTCAATTGATTTAGTCAGCCCTCATGACGTTCAGAGAAGATGCAGGACCATCTATATCCTTTTTACACGCCATAGCTGATGATTTGCAATGGACAGAACAATCTATAGGAAACCAAATCCCTTTAAAATGCATGCTCCCCGGAGCTGCTGCTGTACTATGAATCCTGCTGTGCTATGAGAGCCATGAATGGAAAAAGAATGATTATGACAAGAAAAACATGCCCTTTCTGCAGCAGCTGCTGCAACCAAGAATGCTTAGCAACGGAATTCTGATAGATAACTTGTCAGTTTATATGAAATACCCCGGCATTTCTACTGTGGGGCAGGGAGAAATCAGGAGCATTGCATCGCTTATGCTAGGATGAGATAAACATTGGCAAACATCTTTGAAATGTAGAGGAAAGGGATCTAGATTCCTTATGAACCTGAGGATCCCACCAGAGAATCGTAAGAGGCTAATTATTAATAAATAAATCTAAACTCTGCCCTACAAATGGTCACTAGAGGAAAGGAAGGGGAGCTCATTCCCTCTGTCTCCAGTTTGCCTGGATGGTAACACAGCACAAAAATGCCAGGCACATGCACAAACATTTAATGAATCTGTCTTTCATACTGAACTTTAACTTCATTACAAAGGGCCTGTGTTTTAAAGACTAATATCAAAGGGCAAGTAGGTTTTTCATAAGTGTTGCAACTGTACTACTGCCTCTTCTCTGCAAACTCTTCCTGCAGCCTTTTCTATGTTATTTTTCATCTGTTTGAAAATCTAACAAAATGGGAAGCTGTAACTTCTGGATCACAAGGTCAAACTTCACTATGCCAGTACAATCAAACTCAATGTTGTTTAGTCTAGAGGGAAGGAAGAACTGATATTGGAAAAAATGTAATCATTTTGCGATATTAGTGGCTGGTGGATATCAAGTTTTGGATGCTGATTCTCACATGCTGGAGAGAAAATGGAAACATAATTTGTATAATAGCTTTTTTGATATATTCTACCATCACTTCTTGGTTCACCTGGATGATGCTCCTCTGGCTCTCCAGAAATTAAGGACTGCAGAAAACGAATCAGAGATGTTGAAATGCCACAGTCTTTTATTCTTACTCAAGTTTATAAGAAACCTGAATTGGTGAGTGCCAATAACATCTCATCTCTCACTAATTTAAATACTACCAGCTTGCTCTCTATTGGTTGAGAAACCAGCACAACCACCTCTGTACACAAGAAAGCAAAGGAGGATAACAGCACTCCAACAATTACAGTTCTGGTTACCTTATCAATATTATGGTTTGCCCTGCAAACCAGGATTGTAAATCAGTCTAATTCCATTTTGCAACCCAATATTGCAAGGTACAGTGGAAAACTATGACTTGCTGCCAAGTGGATTATGTGAGTGGGACAGGAGAGAGAAAACAAACTCAGGGTATCCATAAAGCCAAGTCACAACTTGGCATTGTGCGTAACCCAACCACAGAACAGAACAGGCATGGCCTGCTTTGGGGTGCTTTGGCCTAAAACTCCCATCAGTCCAATATGGCATAGGCAATGGAGAGTGATAATGGAAGCTGCAGGACAAAGCTTTCAGTGGGCTGGAAGTTGTCTGTCCCTGCCATTGAGAGTTCCCAGGCTGCGTGTTAAATTATCTAGAAGAAGTAACAGATACTCAGTACTAACTCACCAGGCCGCAGATTCAGCAAGACCTTCTGAGGCATTATTTGGGTGACATCTGAATTGGCCCCACTAGAGCCCATGCTGCTCAAAGGAAGGTTCTTCACTATATCAATGCTGCTTTTTGTACTCTCAATGTGCCCTGCACAACCATTGCTGATTAGATTTTCAGTGAAGTCACATCTTGAAGTGATGGACTTTTTGCTGCCAAATTCCTGTGAGGAAGCAGAATTCAAGAATGGAGAAAAAGATTATCAGTTTGTCCAGGAATAACGATTACATACAGAGTTACCTGAGAAGCCATTTTTCACATTACATTTAGATTACACAAATAGCTCATCACAGCAGACATTTGAGGTTAATACACTGCCCCCTCATGACCACTCTGGAAGGCAGGTCAGCCTGAGAGACTGGTTCTAGGGACAGAATGAGGTAGGTGGGAAAGACAGCAGTGAAGAAGTCATGTATGACAATGGAAACAATGACAATGGAAACTGCTGAAGGGAGTGGAATTCGTTTACGGTTTATCCAGACCATCATGTGAGCAAGATGTTAATCCAATTGAGAAAGCTTCTGTTCAGATGTCTTATATGTATGTTTTATGTCTTCTGTGTTCTAATGTTCTTACAAGCTAAGGGTTTTCCTATAGTTTCATATCAAAACCCCTTTTCATTATGTTGGGGGAAAAGATCAACAATATACACCCCAAGTTAAGAGAATCTTGGGCGGTAAAGCTGGGATAATCACTGCCAATTGAAGTAAGCAGTACTGGACTTGATGCTCCCATAGTCTGACTTACAACCATAAAAGTAGTTTGTACATTCCCTGCAAATGCAGGTGAATGCTTTAATGATTAATCACTACAGACATAATAATCAAGTAATTATATAGTGCTTTTTCTCAGTATTCAAAGCTTTTCATGGACTGTATTTTGGTAATCCTTATATAAAACCTGTGAAGCATACCAAACATATTGCAAACTAAGATATGATTTAACTAAGCCCTCACTCGCTCGCGCACACATGCTCTCTCTCTCTCTCTCTCTCACACACACACACACACTGCTCTTTAACATTGTTTTGAACACCAAAAGTACTTTATTTAAATAGTTCATATTACTATTTAGGGGCTTTCATAGGAATCCAAGTTCCTGTCTAACTGAAATTTAAAATCTCTGGCTAGAAGGCATATTTGAGATGAGAAATGTAAATCTTGGCCATTCCAAGTAGTGACATTCTAGTATTACATTTTTTAAAACCGTGAAGAATGTGAACAATGCCCGTCTCTCTCTCTTTCTCTCACTCTCTCTCTGTATGTACAAACACACAGGGTACTGAAAATTATAAGTTCAATGAAGGAAGAGGAGGAGTTAATATGCCCACTTGGAATTACCAAGTTACAAACAGATGATGTATAAATAAAAATCACCCAGAACGGACAGAGTCTTTTCTATCCCTGTTATGTTCTTCTTATATCTTGCACACATCCTGTTCACACCCCACCATCCACTCCCCAGGATACAAAGAAAGAGAAGCCTGCATTTTTAAAGTGTTCCCTCAATTGTACTTTCTGAGCACAGTTTACCTGGTAAGCCTCTATCACGAAACCAGAAGTACACTTGCAAGCAAGCACAATCACATCCTACACGTATGCAATAGCACAATTCTTGGCAGGCACTTTTAGAAGGAGTAGGTGGGGAAAAGGTCAAGAGGCTGTCAAACACCAAGTCATCTCCATACATTCCTAACAAGAGATGACAGTCCTGGATCTGCCATATACCACCACTGCATAAAAAAGACAAGCACACAGAAGACTCTATGTGTTTGCATTCTAGTGCACAAATTCTATAGTGGCCTTTTTCCAAGATGGGTGATATGCAACTGAAGATATGCATGAACTGAAACAAGTGGATGTGGAAAGCTCATGGGCGGGCGGGGGGGGGGGGGGCACAGCCTAGGGTTTCTTAAGTCAAGGTAGGCAGAACTATGATTACTATCTATGCAGTCTATTGGACAGAATATAGGACTAGAAGCTCTGTTTAACTATGAAGCTGATGCCCATTTGCCTGCCATCACCCAGACTAACCTACCCTAACAAGGTGGTTGTGAGAATAAAAAGAGAAGAGAATATGTATGCCAGCCTGATATCCTTTGAGCAAGGGTGGAATAAAAATACAGTAAATAAATATTTAACATTCAAACAATGACATACATTTTGGATTAATTTCAAGTATATTTTTTAATCTGGATTTTTCTATTTAACATGCACTGTGAGGCAGCTTTTCATGCCCGCATAAAGCACAGCAAATAATGAGGATCTCTTGTATTTGCATGTTCTTGATGTAGCATGTTTTGCATATGCTCATCAAGTATTCTGGTGGAGGCCTAAGATGCTTGCGTGGGGGCAAAACACTATCCATTTCCTCCAATTTCAGTCCCACAGGACTTCCCCTTGCTCTCCTCCTTCATTCAGCCCCTTCCAACCTCTGTGCAATGAATATTCACTAAGAAAACACAAAACCACAACTGTTTCATACACACACAAACACACATGCTCAACAGAGGTTTTTGTTTTGCATTTTGGAGAATGAGAGAGAGAGAGAGAGAGAGAGAGAGAGAGAGAGATATTTGTATAGGGTAGCTATACAAACCCCAGGAAAAATCTGGGTAAATTGAAGGTAATCCTTACTATGAGCTGAATGTTTATCGCCCCACATAAATTAGAGTGTAAGAAAATGTACAGTGCTGCCAATAACCTCCTTGACTAACAATGATATAATACATACTCCAGCACTTTCTGATTTCTGTGCCAATCTCTCTCTTTTTTAACCCACCAACCCATGACAATCATTTTCTCTTGGTAACTCTCTCTTAATTTTAACCATTTTTCCTGAAATATTTTGCCTCTGTCACACCTCAGCCTCAAGGCATACACATATCAAAAGAATGTTATTTCTATATACCTCAACTATTTCCCTCTTGAAAACAGAAATATAATGGGAACTTTCAATTCCAGAAAATGCCTCCAGAAACATTCCTTCTGAGGATGTCAGATGAATTATTTTAACTACATAAAATTATTGGACTGGTATAACCTGTTTGTGCTTTATAAGACCCTTACCCACCATTTGAAATGTCTTAAGAAAATCCATTTTCATTGTCTGTTAAATTAAACCTGCACCAAATTGAACAAAATTTAAATTGCAATCCCCAATCAGGCTTATAATGACAAATAAGTAAGGAGGTTTGGGGTAGCAGATCAGCAGCATCTGGGCCATATTGTGCCAAATTCAAGGTCAACGTTAACTTGAAATGTTGCTGAATAGAAATGCCCAAGGCCACTTTTCTTCTCCAAAAACAAAAATGTTGCTCCTGAAAGCAGATTAAAATGCACAGTGATTTGTTAAGATACACGGGAGTTTACAAACTAGCTTTGGGACTCAATCCTGAGAACAGAGCGATAGTCAAACTTGCCACCAGAGAGAATGCGGGGGAAACAAACTTGACTTTTGTATTGTGTTACAAACATGCAATTTAGGAAACTAAAGGCATAACAGCACAAAGAGAATTGGCTGAAATTCCATTAAGTGGACACATTTTCCACCTTACTCAGGGCTAGGAAAATGAATCTGAATATGGAATTCTGCCTGACAGTGACAATGTAACACATACATGTCGAAACGAGGGAAGAAGGGTGGTGCCTTATGAACTTGGATCCAAGGTATGATTTTCTCCACAAAAACCCACACTTTTTCTTGAGCTACAAATGCAAATTTAAGAATATAATATTTCTGGGTTGCAATATCTGTAATTTTTTCCAACAGATATGGAATATTTGTGCAATGTGGTGAAGAAACAAGAAGCCTGCTTCAACTGCGCATAGCTAGAACAGATATGATAACATTTCATTACAACTTTAAACCTTGCTGTTTCTGGCAATTCCACAATTCAAGGAGGGTAAATAAATCGAGAGCTACTGTAGACTACAGGGATTATCTCCCATAAACAGTCTATTCCCCTCTTTGCCCTCCAGTCAATGTGGAAAAATTTCCAAACCATATAATTGATTGGGTAATGCAGCATCATCCATTACTGCTGAAGAATGACCTAGAACTAGCGGTCACAACAAACCAGATAAATATTTGTGTTGGCAGAACTATTAAAAACTAGCTTGTCTGTGCCAAAAAATAGAACAAATCCAGTCCAACACTACTGGATACCCAGAGCACTGCAAGCCATATTTTTTTTCTTTCTGATGTCACCACCATTGATATACTTGGCAGAAACACTTCTTACAGCTGCATACAAGATGTCTCAGAGCAGTGTTTAACGGGAGCAGGGGAACATTCTACCTTATGCATATGTAGTTTATTTCATTAAGGAGTTGTGTACATATAAAAAGAATCCTCCTACTTAACACCACAGTCTCCAAGCATCTTCCTGAATCCCCCAAACCAAGCTAAGGCTGCAGTCTTTTACACACATGAACTGTAAATCCTACTGATCTGAATGGGCTTTACTTCTGAGTAGACATGTATAAATTCACACTGTAAAAGAATAATGATGGTCCATCACAGTGAAAGCATAGAGAAGGCAAGCACATCATGTCTTTTTTCTTTGCTTGCTTAAATAACTAAATAGGGAAGATTGAACAATATGTTAACAGCGCAAAATCTGAGAGGCAGCTGTTGAAGAACAGTTAACAAAATGTTAAAAACAATCAGCACGGCATTACACAAGTCAGATTCCTTATGTAGACCAGGTTTGTATGACATAACAACCCATCGGGGGAACTAGCCACAGTGTCATCCAAACACCATAAATAAGGCACCCGACAACCCATGCCTTTTGGGTTTTTGACCCACAATAGGAAGTTCTGCTGTCTGAACATGACAAACCAATTGCATTGTGGATTGTAGACACCAGCTAGCAGGTGATTCAGCAAAAGTAGCAAAAGCCCTGGCTGCTCTTTGCAATCTCACCAAACCTCTGCCTTTCCACCACTGCCCAAGTGGTACTTTGGAGCAGCTATCACTGCTTCATCAACCCTTTTCTGGATTATTTTTTTCAGTCTCAGAAAATTACATTTTTAATGTGGTGTGTGTGTCATAGAATCATAGAATAATAGAGTTGGAAGGGGTCAAGAAGGCCATCTGGTCCAACCCCCTGCTGTTGCAGGGCACCAGTTGATACCATCCCACTCAGATGACTGTCCAGTTTCTTTTTGAATGTCTATAGAGTGGGAGAGCCCACCACCTCTCTAGGCAGCTGGTCCCACTGTTGTATAGCTCTGACAGTGAGAAAACATTTCCTGATGTCTAGCCTGAATCTAGGCTGTCACAACTTGAGTTGATTATTCCACGTCCTACACTCTGGAATCAGCAAGAAGAGATCTTGGCCTTCCTCTTTGAGATAGCCTTTGAGGTACTTATAGAGGGATATCATATGTGTAGGCATACACTTGAAACAGTACAACATGAGTAGTCTTACCTGCTCAACTTCCTTGTGTTTTAGCTGTCAGAGAGAGCAGTGAAATGGAGGAGGTAACATACCATGGAAACTGACAATACATGTAGGCAAATCTGGGCACAGTTGTCAGGGTTAACCTGCCTAGCTGTCAGTTGAAAAGCATCAGTAAAAGGAGAAAAAAAATCAGCAAAATGTTGAATTGACCGCTCTCTATTCTCTCTACCTTTAAAGAACTCTCCTGAATCTCTCAGCTAGACCAGATGGGGTAGATTTTTATCTACCTTTTGGAGACGTTACCATTGTGGTTACTGCAATTCACTAACAGTTCTAAAGAAAAACCTGTAAAAGTATATGAAAATGTAATAGTTGAGAAGTACATGGTGGTAAATTCTGCAAAAATATATATGCTGGGAAATAAATGGAAGGGGAATGTACACGCAAGCATGAATTGCTCCTTTGCTACCGATGCACAGATTTCCCCTCAATTTCCCCTAATTGCACATTTTTTAGAAAAAATGGCAGTGAACCAACAGGGAGAAGCAATCAGAGTGGAGGTGGAAGGCAAGATGGACACTGGATTACAGGCTGAGGGGGAAGGGGGAGGGAACAAGTCACACAGAGCCCAGTTGTTGGCAACATTTTCATTTGTTCTGCAAACAACCCACACTGCACAGCTTATTGCATGGCTTAGCAGGACATATAAATGTGGCCATAGGGTATTTATATCCATAGCTAAATGAAAATGTAAGTGCACTAAACACCCAGTAAGTAAGGTCAAGGTGCCTTTTAAAGACGATTTATCTGGATACCATTTCAGATTACACAGGCTATAGGCTCACACCCAAGTATATGCATTTAAGTCTTATTGAATTTGATGGTCCTACAAAATGGTTGCAACAGCAAACTATTTATATGGAATCATAACAGGGAATCTGTAATCTTCTTAATTTTGTGAATAAATATTTTAAATTATAAAAATTCTCCTTGCACTTTAAGAGATACAAATAAATCCTTGTGCACTTAAGTCATATGCTTTATCATGTTCATGGTATCTGAAAATGAATACATTTGGGGGATTTATGCCAATTTCTTGTACTGCCTGCTATTAATGTCATTCCTCCTTTTTGTTAAACTTTTGTAGTAAATCTAAAATTATAAGGATAGCAAAATAGTGTTTTCGTACAGCCATTCCCATTTTGGTGGCCTCCAGATGTTCTGGACTTGAACTCCTATCAGCCCCAGCCAACATGGCCAGGAATGGCAGCAGTTTCAGTTCAAAACATCTAGAAGACTCTAGGTTGGAGAGCACTGTTCTATTAGCTCAGACAACCAGTTAAGTACTACTATTACACCACAGTTCAAAATGCACTGTGAGCTTCTAAATTACACCAAACTCCCCTTGGAGCAAAATAATAATAATAATAATAATTAAAATGCAGAAGAAATATTTCTGGCAGAGTCGGTGCATTTCACATTGTCTTTAGCTTGTTTCTGGCTTACCACAGAAACAGAGGATACTTTTCCAAAATAATTTTGTGACAGCTGTATCCTGAGCAGAAAGAACTGAAGTTCGACTGACTCGGAATTGTAAATGTACACACATATTTTAAACAAGGAGAACTGAACGGAACGTAAGTACTTACCTCTTTAAAGCACCAAGCACACTTGGGATGAACAAGCAAGCATTCTTCACAGGAGGTGGCACTGCCACTTGTGCAAATATTGACACCTTTAAAAAGCAACAGAGAGAGAATTACCAAAAAGCCAAAACAGTAGCAGGTGCTCGATAATTCCATTTGCCTCATATTACAAAGGCATTAAAAAGAACGCAATCTATACAAATGCCTTCCTCCACTCTTGGGGAGGCAGATTTGCTGTAAGACAGAGGTGCTGCATCTCTTTTGGCCCAAGGGCCAAATTCCATTTCAGGGACATTCTCAGAGGCTGCATTTCAGTGTGGGCAAGGCTTAAGGCAAAGCGGGTGGGTCAAAGTACACAAACATCAACATATTTCAGCTTAGTTCTTGTCAGTAACTAGACCTTAGGAGAGGAAACACCCCTTTCCCCTGTTTAACTCTAAAACAGGGGAAAGGGGTAAAACTTAGTAAATCAGCACACAATCTATGGGGAAGGAAAGGGGACAGGACCATGTGAGCAACCCAGTAGAGCTGAACTAAGACTCCAGGCAGACTGATCCTGGCCTATGGAAAGGCTTGTATTTGTCAGATTCAAAAACAAATAAAGATCTTATTTTTATACTTGGGTACATACTCAGGGCAGGACAGTGAACCACACATGAACCTTGGCCATGAAGGTATGAAAACCTCTTGGATTGCACATTTCTACAGTAGAACTGCTTGAGTGAGAGCACTTTTAGCACTAGAGATGGAGCTGTTCATAGCTGCACCCGCTAGCTACAGCTGGGTCTTATTTTGAAGGCAACTTGGTCACTGCATTCTTGGCACACTGACATGCTGGACGAGCAGATTGCATGATAATTCCAAAGTATGTCACAGACTACTAAACCCTTCTGTGGTGTAAACACTGCCATAATCATACTAGCTTCCCATGTATTGGTCAAGTATCCTGGGAAAAACACAACACAGTTTCCCATCTGTAGAACTATTATTACTTTCCACCATGTTTTTAGCAGGACTCCTTTGCATTTAAACAGTATCACAAAAGGCAGAAACATAAGAACTGTACCTTTTCTCAACATGGAGTGGTAGTGTTGAGAAAATGGGTAGCCAGTTGACGCAGATTTTAAAAGGCCTATGCCATAACCCTATGTATTCCTGGAGAGAAAAAACCCTTACAATTCGCTCTAGTGTTGCCTAGTCTGCCTTGCTTTTTTCTGTCAAAACATGCACAGGATTGTGCCCTTAGGCACAATCCTGCGCATGTTTGCAATGTTTGCCAAGCATTTTAGGGAGAAAATCACTCAGATTCGCCACGAGCTTGACTCTGCTATTGAATCAGGTTTCACTGGGGAGTTGCCATCGACGCCGTCCAGTCCACAATTAATGGATGAATTTCAGTTGTTGCAGCCTCATGATGTGGACAAGGTGCTTGGACAAGTACATCCTACCACTTGCTTACTAGACCCATGCCCATCTTGGCTACTTAAGAAAGCCACGGACGGGATTGGGACCTGGATCCTGGAGGTGGTCAACGCCTCTTTAAGAGACGGCCGGGTACCTGCCCCTTTAAAGGAGGCAGTAGTCCGGCCAGTTCTAAAGAAGGCATCCCTGGATCCAGAGGTGGCTGCCAATTACAGACCAGTGGCCAACATCCCGTTCCTGGGCAAGGTACTAGAGCAGGTGGTGGCGGGATGACTCCAAGCTCTCTTGGATGACACTGATTATCTGGACCCATTTCAGTCCGGCTTCAGACCCGGGTATGGCACTGAATCTGCCTTGGTCACCCTGTACGATGACTTTTGCAGGGAGAGAGACAGGGGGAATGCGCCCCTGTTAGTTCTCCTGGACCTCTCAGCGGCTTTTGATACCATCGACCATGGTATCCTTCTGAATAGGCTAGCAGGATTGGGAGTTGGAGGCACCATGTGGCGGTGGTTCCGCTCCTATCTTAATGGCCGTTTCCAGAAGGTGGTGCTGGGGGACTATGGCTCTGTGCCATGGCAGTTATGCCATGGAGTTCCACAGGGGTCCATTTTGTCCCCTTTGCTTTTTAACATCTACATGAAACCACTGGGAGAGGGCATCAGGAGCTGTGGGCTGCGGAATCATCAGTACGCTGATGATACCCAGCTCTACCTCTCGTTTTCTACCAATCCAGGTGAGGCAGTCGCTGTGCTGAACCGGTGCCTGGTCGGGGTAATGGGCTGAATGAGGGCCAATAAACTGAAGCTCAATCCAGACAAGACGAAGGTCCTGTTGGTGGGTGGTTCGGACCTTGGGATGGGGGACTTGGGCCTTGTCCTAAATGGGGTTGTACTCCCTCTGAGGGACAGGGTTCGCAGCTTAGGAGTGCTCCTCGACCCTGAGCTGTCTTTGGAAGCCCAGGTGATGGCGGTGGCGAGGAGCGCCTTCCTTAGCTTTGGCTGATCCATCAGCTGCGTCCCTTCCTAGAGAATGACTGCCTGGCGACAGTGAAACACGCGCTGGTAACTTCCTGATTAGATATTTATAACACGCTCTACTTGGGGCTACCCTTGAAGACAGTCTGGATACTTCAATTGCTGCAGAATAGAGCTGCCAGGTTGCTGACGGGGACTGGGCGTTGTTCTCATATAACCCCAGTTCTCCGTCAGCTCCACTGACTCCCAATTGAAGTCCGGGCCCGATTCAAGGTGTTGGTTATGACCTATAAAGCCCTAAATGGCTTGGGACCTGGATACCTAAACGAACGCTTGCTCCCATATATGCCCTCCCGCCCCTTGAGGTCAGCAGCAGATGCCCTCCGGGAACCATCTGTGAATGACATCAGGAGGGTGAGTACCCGGAGGAGGGCTTTCTCTGCGGTGGCGCCCCATTTATGGAATGCGCTCCCCAGAGAGGTCCGCCTGGCGCCGTCATTATTTGTTTTTTGGCGCCAGGCTAAGACCTTTTTATTTAAAACTTATTTTAATTGTTAATTTATTAATTTAACTAGGGTTTTTTTAAATTTTTAGTCGAGAATGCACTGAGGTTTTATTGTATTGGGGTTTTATTATATTGTTATTTATTGATGTTTTGTGAGCCGCCCCGAAGCTTTATTGCGATGGGGCGGCATAGAAATGTTTTAAATAAATAAATAAATAAATAAATAAATAGGAGACCTAAGGGGGAAAAAAAGATGGCAGCTTACACTGAAAGCAAGATGAAACTTAAAGAATGAAAAAAAATCAGTAAGTACCCAGAACCTTTTTTTTTTTTTTTTTTGGACAAGCTTGCTTGGAACTAAATATTTAAAATTCCCAGGTACCATCAGGATCTTTCCAAGCACATGGCAACCAAATAACAGGGATCATTCCTCCAACCCCTATCCAGCCTGCTTGCAATGTGGTAGAAACATTAGTAATTTAGCACAGTGAAAATGACTATGCATCGTTTTTGGAATTTAAGCAAGCCTGTAACTTATGAGAGGTTTTGCCTTTCTCTAAAGTATGTATGTAATAATTTTGGAAGAAATTCAACTATTTCCATAAAATATATTCAGATTATCCTCTCAAATACAAGAAAGTTAAACCAATTTGATTTTGCCAGTCAGTATAGTACTTTACCTTTAAACCACCATAGAATGAAATCCTAAATGTTCCCTATTCCAAAAATGAATTCTTCAGAGTTTCAATGAAGCCTTGTGAAACTGAAGAGGAATAAATTGCACTGACCTGAAACCGACCTTTTAATTGCAGAAGCTCCTTTTTATGCCATGTTCTAACACACACACTATTAATAAAACTGTCTCACTTCATCTTCTAGTCTATTTATTCTTTTAAAGAGTAATTTCCACAAAATATCCATGTTAAAAGTCTAATTTATTTATCCTGGTCAATGCTCAACCCAGATTCCCCCCTGCCGCCCCCCCCCCACAAAATTACATTGGCTATGTAGAGTCAGCATAGATTGTTGCTTGTATATAATAATTTTTAAAATGCTTGGTAATCAAACAAAGTATTTAAAGACATAAGGCTATTCTCTTTCTTCCATCAACCAACCAACAACCAACCAATCTTAAAAGGAGTAAAGAATTCTAAAATTACCTCTTGTACAGAAACCAAAGCAACAACCAGTACAAGAGTCTTCTGATAATGCAGCATTAATTGATCCAGATTTTTTTTTTTGCGGGGGAGGGAACTATTATATTATTGGCTAAGGGTACAAACTGTTCTTCCGTATGTAGCTCCTCTGAGACAGCATATTATCCTCCCCCAGTGGCATCCTGGCTAAAGTGGGGATGCCCAAGCCATGGATGGCTGTTGGCTCACCATGAAGAGCCTCATGGGAACACATGAGTCATGATGACGACACTCCCAACAAGCTTGTGCTATGGCAGGGAAGGAAAGAATTACGCTGATAGGTGCTCTATAGCCTGATCTCCAAACACAGAAGGAAGTGGATTCATTTGTGTGATAGTGCAATGAACTTAACTGCACATGAATAAATACTTCTACTTCATTTTACACCTACAACCTACTTGGGTGTTACTGAGATTTAAACTGTCAGCATATTAATTTCTTCCATACTGTTTACTGTCTTAAACATATTTGTTACATATTTAATTGGTTAGTCTCCTTTCTAAATTGCAGGGTCTGACATTATTTTATTAATTAATTTATTACATTTCTTTATCACCCAATATCCAAAGCTCTTCTATCAAATTGCCTGTGATGTATCAAATATCAGCTTGATATTTAGCCAATTAAACAGATGCAGTTAAAAGTTCAGCATGATTTAGATCCAGAAATTATATTAAAGGGGCTGAAAGGCACTTTATTATAAATTATAGTGAACTGGCTTCCGCTTCTGATATGGATCATGCTGCCACAGAAGTACTTTGATAATTAAGCCATATATCATACTGCAAGATTACTTCTCTCTAGATTTCAGTGCCTTATGCTCAAATTATTCCTTGAGCACCTAAGCAGAGCACAACTCAAACAAATCAACAAACTTACAATCTAACAACTATGCAAATATGAAAGGAAAGGAAAAGAGGAGCAGAGTATGTATAGATGAGACAAAAGCAATCAATCTTATGGATGTTTCTATTTTTAGGTGCGCAAAT